GTGGGTGGGGAGAAAAGTGCAACAGTGAATGAATGGATGTTCACTGAAGTTCACTGAAGTTAATAATAATAATTAAAAAATGTAATAAAAGGTAAAAAAAGACATGTGGGCAAATAAGAGTTGTTTCTTTTCATAATCCAGTCATCTCTGGGTGTTTTTCACTATGTATAAAATTCTAATAGAAATTAGAACAAAAACTTTCCATTTCCCTCACCCCCACTCACCAAATTGTATAACCCAATCAATGATCAATCCTCTCTTCCCCCTGGACATTCACATTACTCTTCTTCCAGCCTCTCCCACCCCTCCTGGATTCTTATACTCATTCTACAATAACAGTCTTATACAATATTTATCCTGAGTTAGTTCACTCACAAAATTATTTCTCCTGCATGCTGCATACTATTCCATTGTGTGAATGTACCATTATTTCTCAATCCATTCATTTGTGGTTAGACATTTGGGCAGTTTCCATGTTCTTGCAATGGTGAATAATGCTGCTATGAACATTGGTGTACAAATCTCAGTTTGTGCCTTAGTTCTCATATTCTCAGGGTATATTCCAAGTAGAAGAATAGCTGGGTCATATGGAATTTCTATGTTCAGCTTTTTGAGGAAGCACCAAACTACTTTCCAGAATGGTTGCACCATTTTACAATCCCGCCAACAATGTAGAAGAGTTCCTTTCTTGCCACATCCTCTCCAACATCTATTACTTGCTGCCCTATTAGACTTTGCCACTCTTACTGGAGCGCGACGGTACCTCATTGTGGTTTTGATTTGCATCTCTCTTAATGCCAGTGATTTGGAGCATTTCTTCATGTGTCTGTTTACCTTCGAATATCTTCCTCTGTGAAAATTCTTTCCATGTCTTTTACCCGTAAACTTTTGTTATAAGACTCTTGTCTGAGACGGTATTACCAAATGTTTGTTCCCACTCTGTAGGTTTTCTTTTCATCCTGTTGTGAAAAGTTTTTTATATGCACAAAGATTTAGTATTTAAAAGGTCCCATGCATCAATTTTATCAGTCTCTTTGTACCTTGGACCAGTGCTTCTAAGCTTGATCCCAGTTTGTCTCTTATGAACGTTATGATTTTGGGCTTTACTCCCAGGTCTCTGATCCACCTAGAGTTGATTTTTGTGTATGGTGTGAGATGTGGATCCTGTTTCAGCTTGCTGCAGGTGGAAGTCCAGTTTTGCCATCTTTGAATAGTTTTTTTTGTAGTATAATTGCCCAACGCAATGCATCATTGATCTCTTAATTTCTGCTTTATAGATCAAAGCAAAATGAAATCGCTGACAACTTCAGTCTTTTCTCCATTGATAACAACATTACTTCTTGGTTCAGTTGTAAGAACTTTTGTTTTCTTTCTTTTGAAGTGTAGTCCCTCCTGAAGGTCATGGTGTTTGGGCCTCATTTAATAAGCACTTCACGTCCTCTTTGCGTTAAGAAAGCAAGGTTGTATCATCTGTAAACCACAGGTTGTTAACAAGTCTTTCTTCAATCTTGATATTGTGTTCTTTTTCATAAAGTCCAGTTTCTTGACTTATATGATCAGCATAAAGACTAAATAAGTATTGTGAAAGGATTCAACTATTCCACACAAATTAGAAATTATTTAGAGTAAGAGTCCCTCATTTGGAGGCCAATAGTTGAGATTAGCACTAGTCTGTCTTTCCAATATTTTTTTTTCTCCTTTCTGCTTAGTAAACCCTATAGGAGGACAGAACTTGAAGCACAGCCATACTTGAAGTTTATTTGGTTTTTTTTTTAAATTGAGCAGAGCCTTTGAGCCTTAGAACAAAATACTCAATAGCATCTTAAGAGTGCAGTGGCATTCTGAGCTCTAGATTTGCATCCTGGAGCTCCAACTGAGGACCTTGATGAACTAGAGACAGTGCTGGCTGATTGGTTACAAAACCTGAAGATGGAAACCACAGAGCCACTGGATTTTATCACTGATAACATCAGTCCACACAATGGTCTACCAGCAGGGGCTTTAAAGACCAGCACAATTTAATAGATCAGCTAAATCAAAGGACAAGCCTTTGTATGGACATGGAGAATTATCCTACTTAATATACAAAATAAGGGCTGTATATGCCCATTTTGTAGGAGAAATTTTTCTGTGTGTCATTTGGAGAATAGTGAAGCCCTCAAATTTGAGTATTATATACAATAACAGGATAGTTTTATAATCTGGAAACCCACTGTTGTTAAGTGCTGTCGAGTCATAGACAACTCATAGCAACCCTATGAACAAAAGACCTGAACACTTGTATAACTCTCATCATTTCTCTACGTTCGTAAGAGTTTCTGGAGGCAAGCTATTTAGGAACTGGATGCCACTTGTGCTTCCAACCCTGCTTTAATATTGGAGTTTCACCAAAACTGTCCACCATAGGTAACCATTATCACATTTGACACATTAGTGTCACGGTGTTTAGGATCACAGCAACCATGAGTTACTTCTGTAGAGCAAATGGACAGACCAGTGCTATACTACTTAGAAGAATGTTTGACCAAAAACAATCAAAACCAGGCAGGAGGGCCATAGATTAAAATCACCCACCTTTGGCTTGGTAGCACAACCTTCTATCTAATAGTCCAAGAGAGCTCTCTCTATGACTCCTAATAATTCTACGCAACAGATCTAACCCTTGCCCTAACCTATGCTATCCCCACAATCTGAGACATGCTTGAGCCAGTTACAGGCACTGTATCAACCCATCATGTTGAGAATCTTCTTTTTTTCTCTGATCTTCCACTTTTCTCAGTATGATGTCATTTCCCAAGGATTGGAACCTTAACTGTTGTCTGTTGTTGAAATCCTGAAGATCAAGCTATACCCCAGACCAGGGTAAAGACCCTAGGCACCAGGGTAAAGAATGGTCTACAATGGTTCAATGACCAGGTGACATAGGTTCAGCCTGCAAATGTTGTGACTGGAATCTCCACTTGTTGCAAAGTACAATCGAGTTAGAGCAGACCCAGAGACGACCCACTTAATGCTGGGAAAGTTTGGCAATTCAGGGGGTGAATGTAAGCCATTAGTTTGGACTGATGTCTATGGGGTTACCTACAGTTTTCGTTTCTCCTAGAAACAAGACCTCCTTTAATTGTTCATTTCCATTGTGCAGTAGATGTGGCACTAGAGAATGAGAACAGGAGCATATGTGCAAGGCAATAAGGAGAAAGAGGACACAGCAAGATACAAGGATCTTCTGTGTGGAAATCTTTCTTTAGCTTTTTATAAGATAATATGAGTGGTGATCAGACATTGTGTATACATCCTTTAATTAAAGCTATGAAACAAAACTGACATAAAAAATTTCTTGGAAAAAATAGTGTTTATAAACTTTCACTCAAGTCACAGTAAAAAATATTTTTAAATGCTGTGAGAAGAAATGTCCCTTCAAACAGAAGGACACCAGCCTTAGATAGATGGAACTGGGGATTTATGTTGTACTCACTGAGTGGATGATGCCTTGCAGAGCCTGAAACCCATCATTCACAGGAAACACGTGATCCTTACTATCCGCAATTCGAGCCAACTGAGAACACAGAAAACACATCACATGGAGGTGGGTCAAGCTGAGATAGGAGAGTTTAGTAAGCACCATGAGTGCAGAGAGGGCACCACCTACAACATCCCAGGGGATGTGCTGGTTCTGTGGGCTAAGGGACCTTAATAAAAAGCCTTCAGCAAAATTTAGATTGGGACAACATTGAAGTAGGTTCTGGAGAATCAGCTCCAGCTTTTATATTTGCTTTAATACTTTTGTCCTTTGCTGCAGAAGTAAAATTCCACAGATAGATGATAATTTAGCCTGAGTTGATGTATTTATGAATTTGGGGACAAGTCACTGGCTCACTTTTCTCCCATTCACTTAAATTACTGTTGTGACTATTAAAATCAAATAGACTCAAGTTTCCTTTTAGAGTAATTTCAAAATATAAACTCAGGACTTCTTTTTGAGTGAAACCAATAAGAAGAGACTCTATCTTTCACCCAACCTGCTCATTAGGAAAAGGATACTTGCAATTAAATTGGCTGTTCTTGGTTTGTGGAGCAGAGAAATAAAGGAAGAGTTGTCAAACTGTGAGCTTTTCTGTTCTTAATCTCAACAGAGTGCTTTATTGCCAAAATTATTGTAAATACCAGGGCATGATTTCAAAAAATGCATTTTTAAAATGCTTAATTGCTCTTATTGATTGCAAAAAATTATAATTTGTAAAAATTTTCAAAGAACAATAAAATTTAGATATTTTTTAAAAGAAATGCACACATTAAAGTTATCTATCTTCCTTTTAACAATTTAATACAATACATAGTTCTTCATATTATTATGTAAGCACACATTTTTTAAATAGGCTTATTATACCAACTTTACTGTATTCTGATCCTATTTTATTAATTTAATAGTATATTGTGAGCATGTTGTCATCAATAAAACGAAAAAAAATATTATGAACACACTAAGAAAATATCCACTTATGCAATTATTTCTAGCATTTGACATTAAAAATGCATTCACTGCATTTTGAGAAGGCAAAAGAATGCTGTCATTTCCTAAGAAAATCATATATACTTGTCAATTAAAATGAAAAATAAAAATATCTTTTTCAAGTTAATTCAGACCTCTTTTGACAGCTGTGACAAGTTAACATCTACTTATTAAGAGCATAGCCTGGATGGTCTATGTTGAACATCCTGACCACATCTGTAAGTGATTTCACACCCCTTACACCTGCAACTTGTTGCTTAGTATTTCTGGAAAAATAACCTATCTATGGGCATTTGAGATACTTAAACATCTTTTAAACTGAACACACATTTTTTTCCTATCATTCATAAGCTCATTATGTGTCCAAATGTGAGAAAATTCATGTTCATACCTGTGTTTCATTGAAATCTTTCACTCCCACACAGTAAACAATTGCACCCAGATCTCGAGACCTGTTAGCCTAGGTTAAGAAAACAATAAAGATTAGAAAAACAAACACTAGAAAAATATATTCTTAAATTATTTTCCAGTCATTGGTTCAAATATGTACTGAGCCTTTACTATTTTCCAGGGATCACAATGAGAGCAATAATGGGCAATTAGAGCAGTTCTTCAGGGGCATGCAAGGCATGGAGGACAGGACATGAACATGGACATGGATATGGACATGCACATATTAAGGTTATCTAGCTTCCTTTTAGTTAAATGGGAGGTGCTGAGAAAGATCTACAAGAGTTAAGGCCTTGACAAAGAGATTCGAAAGGCCAAAGAGAAAAGGACAACTGTAGGCTGAAATCTCATTTTAAGTATTTTGGAAACACAATTACCTATCCTTCTAATGTATTTTTATTGATCTGTCTTTCTTCCTTTATAAACATAGTATGACTTGAGAATAGTCTTTGGAATTTGATATACCTTGTCTGACATGTGGCTTTTCAGGATTGCATGAGTTAATGTATACAGAGTTCCTTCACATACGACCTTGAACAATGCAGATGTTCCTGAACAACTGCACCCTTTGTAAATAAGTCCTTTTCTACATCATTGTTGTTGTGTACTATTAAGCAAGAAGAGACCCATATCTGACCCTCTGGTGAGTTTTCAGAGACAGTTAATCGCATGAGAGGAGACTGCCCAACCTTCTCCCAAGGAGCAGCTGGTAGATTCGAATTGCATGCCTTCAGGATTTCAGCCCAGCTTCTTACAACAAGGCCACTAGTGCTCCCTCTATAGCATAAATTATTCCCTCTCTATGATAAATTACTTCATAAGGCAAATACCATTTCTAATAGTGAGGATTTAATTGGTTATTTATGGTAAATAGGCCTGCTAGATTGGTTTTGACTCTCTGTATTTTATGAACAATCATTCAAAATTCCAATATCCCAGAATGGTCTCCCTGGATTTCAGAACCACCTGGATAAATTTCTATTTACAATATATTTTTTTTCTCTGTTCAAGTAGCTTAATAACTGAGTGCCTGTACATTTTTTAATTATTCACAAACAAGTATTTCATACTCTTCATTCTACTGAAAAACTTAAACACTTAGGCCCAGTAAGTCGCTTATGGCTACATGTGTGTAAAGTTGTGTACTTGCAATTAATTAATTAATTAATTAATGCTACAATATGAGATCTTTGAGTTCAAAGGTACTTTAGACCAACTATTTTGCTCACTGGGGAATTTTGCTTCTGATTCTAATGAATAGTTAACAAGATAGGCTTATAGTTGCTTAGTTTTGGGTAAAATACTTAAGAAGCCTGGAATTTTTTTTTTTTTAATAAATGCTCCTCTGAGGAATAAATGAAATAATTTCTATAAAGCGCTTTTTTAATGAATAGTAGAGTGTAGCTTTTTACTTTTTTTATTCTTACCATCTACCTATCTGTTGTTGCTGTTGTTGCCGTCGAGTCGCTTGTGACTCATAGTGACCTTATGTACAACAGCCCTAAACGTTGCTCTGTCCTGTGCCAATCTCACTGTCTCTGACACACCCACCCCAATTATCCAAGTAACTGAATCAATCCACCTCATAGAAGGTCTTGCCCTCCTGTGCTGTCCTTTCAAATTCCCAAGCATGACATCCCTCTCCAAGGAGAGTCTCTCCTTGCAACATGTCCAAAGTATGGCAGACGAAGCCTGAGAATCTTTGCCTCCATGGAGCAGCGTCTTTTAACTCTCTCTAGGATGAACATGTTCGTTTTCTTAGCAGCCCATGGTACATTCAATATTCTTCTCCAGCACCACAGCTCAAAGGCATCAATTCCACTATACTCCCTAGGCACTGTCCAGCTCTTTGATACATAGCAAGTGACTGCAGAGACCATGGCCTGTATAAGACGCAACTTTGTCTCGAGAGTGACACTACTGCTCTTCAGTACCCTGGAGAAGTCCCTAACAGCAGACGATCCCATCGTAACACCTCTTTTAATTTCTTGGCTGCTGGTGCCAAGAGTATTGACCATGGAGCCAAACAAACTAAAGCTGTTAACAATCCCAATCACTTCACCATCCATCCTGATGCTGCAAATTGGTCCAGTGGTGAGAATCTTTGTCTTCTTGACATTGAACCTTAGTCCATACTGAAGGCTGCAGTCCTTGACCCTCTGCAGCAAGCGCTTCAGGTCCTCCTCAGTTTCAGCAAGCAGGGTTGTGTCATCTGCATAATGCAGATTGTTGATGGATCTTCCACCAATCCTAATGCCACCGTTCTCCACATAGAGCCCAGCCTCCCAGATAATCTGTTCTGCATTCAGTTTGAAAAGGTATGGAGATAGGACACATCCCTGGCGTACAACCTTCCCAATTTTGAACCATGCAATGTTTCCTTGCTCAGTTCTGACCACTGCTTCCTGGTCCAAGTATAGGTTTCTTATTAGCATGATCAAGTGTTCTGGGATTCCCTTTCTTCTCAGAGTCAGCCACAGTTTGTTATGATCCACACAGTAAAACACCTTTGTATAATCAATGAAGCACAGATAGACATTCCTCTGATATTCCCTGCTTTCAGCTAAGATCCATCTAACATTAGCTACAATATCCCTAGCACCACAACCCCTTCTAAACCCAGCTGGCACTTTTGGCAGTTCTCTGCTGATGTGCTGCTCCAGTCGTTTTTGGATAATCTTCAGCAGAATCTTGCTTGCATGTGATATCAATGGAATTGTTCTATAATTTCCACAATCTGCTGGGTCACCTTTCTTTGGGATAGGAACAGATATAGATCTCTTCCTGTCAGTTGACCAAGTGGTTGTTCTCCAGATTTCTTGGCACAACTTGGTGAGCATATTCAGGGCAGCATCTCTTAGTTGAAATAAGTCAATTGGTATACCATCTATTCCTGGGGCTTTATTTTTTGCTATTTCCTTCAAAGCAGTTTGAACTTCTTCTTTCATCACTATAGGCTCTTGCTCATATGTTGTTTCATGAAATTCTTCTGTGTCTGCCAATTCCTTTCAATACAGTGACTCTGTATACTCTTCCCATCATCTTTTAATACTTCCTGGATCATTTCATATTCTGCCTAAAGCATTCTTAATTATAGCAACTCAAGGTTTGAATTTGTTCTTCAGTTCCTTGAGCTTAAGAAATGCTGAGTGAGTTTTGCCCTTTTGATTTTCTGACTCCAGCTCCTTGCACATTTCATTGTAATATTTTACTTTGTAAATTAACTTTTTTACTTTGAGTGTCTACCTACCTACCTACCATCCAATAATACCTTCATTTTTAGAAAATTTACTGCCCTTTCTTATTGGCCTAGTTGTAACATATTTAATCGTAGCATAATTTAAATCGCTGGTATTGGGTATCTTTTTATCCCTCAAAGTGGCCCTCTCAAATTGTTATATCTGTTAATCCTCTATTGGAAGCTCTTTTCACCTTAAACCTTGACTCTTCTTCACAGATGATCTGTTCTTATAATGGTCTTGGAACTATGGTTCACATTCAAATAGGTACACCTATGTCCTTCCCCAGCATTAAACTATTGAAAATGCAACATAATGAATAAAACATTTAACTTTTGGTTTGATTTTAATATTTGTTTTATTCAAGGTTCTGATATCTGTTTTCTAGGTTTTCAGAAAAGAAAATAAAAAACAGAAATTCTGATCACAGAAGTGCCAAATATAGAAAGTGTTAAATAAATCACTGTTAATAAGCATATAGTAAATGTTCTCTATTTAGATTTACATTGGCTCATTTCTTTTCTTAGTACTCAAATCCATTGAATTTTGAAAGTTATTGAAACATAAGTATTTTTTTTCCTTCCTCTTAGAAATATTCCTTACTGTTTTCAGAATAAAACAAATTTTTCATCACAATCTAGGTTTGCTTCATCAACAACCACTGCCATCATTATTTCTCTTTTGAGATTTGTATGGAATTTCCAAAAATGAAAGTGTCTATTTTATTTATACCCATGTATAATTTTCCTTTATCAGAAAACTTTTTATTTGTTGGCACTGGCACTTTGAATGTTTTTCTAAGTCTGTATGTGCCATACCTAAAATTCTTCTCTATTAATCCCTATTTTAAGTTACTAGCTCCATCATTCCTGTTATCTTTAGTCATTTCTTTATAAGGTTTTTTACTTTATTTGACTGTTGTGTAGGCTCCAAATAAGTATTTTCCATTCCTATCATATAGTTCCCGCTTTAGAATATATAAATGTACTACTTTCCAACTGCTTATAATTACTTTGCATTTCCTCATTCAGATTATTCTTTGTGCTAATTGAGGAGAGTATTAATGTGTCTACTTGCAAAATCTCCCAAGCACTTTGAGAGCACTTGCCTCTAAAAGTGAACATCATACTGGGAAAGATATATGGAGCAGCAACTTTGTCTTACTTCCTTTTCTATCACTGGGTATTAACAATGTCTGGCACTTGCTAAACTCTCCGTTACCACTGAAAAAACGAACATACACTGCATGCTTGTTGAGAGAGCTGAATTTAATTTGGATAGTGTTGAACTGAAAGTCAAGAGCTTAAATCAAACGTAAGGCTATAACTAACTCCTGCTCAAAATGTTTGTTCCATTGCCTTTTTTTCCTCTACTGTCTTTCTTATGCTTTGGTCTTCACAAACCTATGTCAGTGTTGTTGTTGCTAGGTGATATCAAGTCAATTCCAACTCACTGCAACACTGTACAGAATAAAACTCTTCTCATAGAATTTTCTAGGCTGGAACTTTTACAAGAGTAAAATGGCAGGTCTTTTCTTGTGCAAAGTGGCTGGTGGGTTTGGACTGCAACCTTCTGGTTGGAAGTTAAGAGCTTCACTAATGTGCCTCTTCTTCTGTTGTTAATTAGGCTTGAATACACTGTAGTCTAGGAACAATTATACATGTAGCTCAAAACTTAATATTTGAAGGGAAAGGACTTTCTAAATGTAAACATGACCTTTCAACTTCTGAGTAAACCTCTTTTGCTGAATCTTCTTCTACACATTTAGCATATAATTTCTCTTGCTTTGAGGAGTTATTTTTGATAACATAAAGAAAAGGAAAAATGAAATACAGCAGAAAGATTTCCACTAACTGTGCTACCAATTACTGCTAAATTTTGGCTCTTAGATTAAGAATCTCAATGTTTCATTCCTTCTAACAAATTTGGCTCTCACATACCACAAATTTACTTTGTTTTCCTACTACTGGAAAATACATGACAAAAATATATAAGGAAATAGAATTGGTACCAATGGTTTTTGGGGTTTTTGTTTAAAAGTGATATATAATATATGAAAGCTCTAAAAACTGTAATATCTTCAGTGAAGTTATGGTAGACACTTTCTAATACTTAAAAACTAATGAAATATATTTTGAAATAATGTGAAATATTTTTAAAAATAAAAACAACTGTATAAAGCAAGAAAATTTAATTAGCAAGTAAATTAATATTTTAATGCACAAAACACATAAAAAAAACAAATTCATTACTACTGAGGCATTTCTGACTCATGATTATCTCACATGTTACAGAATAGAACTCTTCTACAGAGTTTTCTAGGTAGTAATCTTTACTGGAGCAGATTGCTCCAATGAATGGATTTGACCTACCAATCATACATAGGTTGGTACAAGAATGCAAAACATTTGTGCTACCCAGGATCTCTTCTTATATATGTGACATGACTAGATTTCAAATTAAAACAAAAACACAACACAATCTATTACATTGGCAGAAAAGAAAGATTGCAACCCATTTCAGAAGTCCTTTTTCCATGTAGGTTTTGAAGACAGGCCAGGCTGTGGCTTACCTCCCTCTCTGAATAGAAAAAGAGATCTTCATGGAGTTCTCCATCAGTCAAAGCAATGATGACACTGGCTGTTCTGTACCCTGCTCAACACAACACAAACCAATCAGTCCATCCCTCCACATCAGCCCCTTAGCCCTGGCAGTCCATCTCTTCCAAGCTCCCCAACCCAAGGTAATTATGGTGAAAATCAACAGCTGTTTGTTTGTTTTTAAGATTAGAAGCAACTAAACCATGAAGAATAGTGATCAAAAGGGGATCAGTTTCACAACTACGTTTCTCAGCCTTGTCCCAAAATATGGTGAAAGGGTCACTCAACTACTTGTTATATGCTGTCAAGTTGGAACCAACCTAGAGTTGACCCTCCTGAGTGTTTTCAACAGTGGTACATCGCATGGAGGTTGACAGCCCATCCTTCTCCTGTGGAGCAGGTGGTGGATTTGAACCATGTCATCAAGTTGATTTTTTACTCACAATAACTCTGTGGAAAAGAGTTGAACTGATCCCTCTGATTTTCTTGACTATATTCTTTATGACAATGAATTGCCAGGTATTTCTCTAGAAATGTTAGGTAATTTCAAACCACCAACCTTTCAGTAAGCAACTGATTGCTTTACGATGGTGACGACAGGACTTCTTTAGCTGGGAATAGTTCAGTGTATCAAGGTGACTGTGGCATGTGATTGTCACCAAGCCCATAGAGTGAACTCTGTCAAATGAGTTGGTAACTTTCTCCCTTTTATATGTTATAGTTAGCTATTTACACCATCCACTGAAGACAGTCTGGCAAAAGGTAACAGTAATTTTATGACTTATTTTACTAAGAAATCTGTTGCCATTAACTGAATTCTGAGTTGCTACACAACAGAGTAGAACTGTCCCATAGGGTTTTCAAAGCTTCAGTTGTTACAGAAGCAGAATACTTTTTTTCTCCTACAAGGCAACAGTCAGATTCAAAGCACCTTTTAGGTAAAAAATGAACTTTAAGTAAAAGTGTCATCAGGACTCCTTAAGAATATTATAACAAGTGGTAAAATCTATTACTTCCTTGAGTGATTTTTCAGACTTCTAGTCATTTTACTGCTAGTTGATTTAGATTAGTAAGTGATGTATTGACACTTGTTTTTTTCTACTCATTCCCAATTAAGGTGAAGGAGAAGCAGACACCTCTACAGACTTAGAAGAAAATCTCTATTGTAATGCGGACTCTAATATATTTATCTCAGGTGAAGAAATGCTACCCATAAATGATACTGTAGCAATAATATTTCTAAATTACTAATATTTCAAGTTTTTAGCCACACTATTACACCCATTTTATGTACTTAAATGAATGACATTTTTAAAGCAAACTGACATCTTAAAATATCACACCAATGACAGCACTAAGGGATCTGGAGCTCAAAGACGGACCAACCAAAAGAACTAAACCCACAGACATAGAATCAACTCTTAAAACTGCCCCACAAGATTTCCAAAGCTATACATCTTTACAGAAGCCAACTGTCTCATTTTATTACCAAGGAGTAACTGGTGGATTTGAACAGCTAACTTTTGGTTAGAAGCTGAATGCTTTAACACTTTTACTACTAGACCTCCTTTCAGAGAGGGATAAGAAATTTAAATTTGACCCCAAGTCCAGGATTTTATAATCCACTTAAATATGTACTAATTTAATTAATTTGACATGAAGGAATACACAAGGGAATTACAGATTGTGGCCACTGCCAGCTCTTAATTACTTTATATAACTTTTATTGGCACCAGCAGGATATTAGAATTTGACCTGAAACTGCTATCTTTCTACTCATTTTTTCTTTGTGATGAGTGTGTGCCGAAGGATTACAGACAAATATAATAAACCTCTTCAGAAACACCAAATTATTGAGACATTTTTTTAAGGAGCAAACATAGGGGAAAAATGTGTAATTCATAACTGTCTTTCTAAACATGGTCTTACCTTGACTGTTTTCATAATAAATCTGCTCACTTGCCTAAAATACACAAATAAAAGCTATTAGAGGATAGTTAACTAGAGGTTACTCCAAATACCTTAATGGGCAGTGGGAACTGGTGTTGAATATGCAGCTAGGACTAACATTGATTCTTTATGTAATTCACCCAGCCATCACTTCATTACCACAGAGTGATGCTTGTCAAAATTTATCCTCACATTTAACCAGTGTATTTGTAAAGTACTTAACTAATATACTTGTACAGATGGACCTGTGACTTCTCAGAGCCTGGGCTTAATTTTTATTAAGTTTGAAGTCAATGAAACTTTGTCTCAGTCATTGAAGCTACTACCATGTAGGCAAATGCCATTATGGGAAAATCTTATAAGTGATGTAATTTACAAAGAACAATCAAACATTAGCGAACAAGCTCTTAAGAGCTAGGGGAGAAAGGACAGCTCTTTTGGATAGAGTTGTCAGTATTCAGTTCCCTTACTACATGTGTCCCTTAATCTCGTCAGCCTCCCCTTTGCTGATGTTTCAATATCATCCTTTATATTTGGTGTTCAAACTATTTCAAAATTACCCTTTCAAATCCTTCATGCATGTAAGTGTCTCCTCCTGGTAAAACTTTCTGAAGTTCTTCTAGGCCTTGACGGATCTGTTCCCTGAAATTGAAAGGAATTTTGTTATTATTTTTCTTTTTTTAAATAATAGTTTATTGTGGTTTGGGGAAAGTTTTACATAGCTGTTTAGGTTTCCATTCAACAAGTGTTCAGGGATACTGGTGACATTCTTTCCAAAGCATGAACAGTCTTATTATTTCTCTTCTGACTGTTTTGTTTCTGTTAATCTGGACTCCTTGCACCCTTATATCCCCATCTTTGTTTTAAAGTAATTGTTGTCTAGTTGATCTCATAAAGGTGACAATCTAAAGGAGCACAGTACTTATGGGTGATTGTCGTTTTTGCTGTTGTTGTTTTGTGCCATCGAGTCACCTGTGACTCATAGAGACCCTATGTACAACAACTCTAAAGCCTGACCTATCCTGAGCCAGTCTCACTAACTCCAACACAAGTGCTACCAGTGACCCAGTTATTGTATCAATTCATCTCATCCAGGGTTTTCCTCTCCTGTGCTGTCTCTCCACCTTTCCAAGCACGATGTCCTTTTCCAAGGACCAGTCCCTTCTGGCCATTAAATACCCAAAATATGTGAGATGGAACTTCAAAATCCTAGCCTCCAAGGAGAAACTTGGTTTCACCCTCTCCAAGACAGACTTATCTGTTTCCTTGGCAGTCCGTAGTATAGTTAAGACTCTTCTCCAGCAAGAGAAGGTATCGAGCCAATTTATTATTTTATTACAGGGTGACAGCAGGATTTTGGTTCAATGTTTGATGAGGATTTCATGGTAAAAATCATGTTAATTTTATTAAGTCATTTAAAAATTATCCTGTTAGTAATCATATTCACCAATGAAACTTATTCATTTAACTTACTTTCATGTATACTATGACATACGTGCTGACAAGCTGAGTACAAGTAACCCTATGAACAGCAAATCTGAACCCTGTCTTGTCTGTCTCATCCTCATCATCTCTTACCCACTTGAGGCCATTGATGTAGTTGCGTGTCAATCCATCTTGTAGAGGGTCTTCCTCTCTTTTACTGACCTTCCATCCTTCCAAGTAGATGAAACAATATGCCCAAAGTGTGTAAGACTAAGTATTGTCATCTTTGCCCTCCAAAGAATATTTCAGCTGCACTTTCCCTCAAGATATATCTGTTTATTCTTTTGACAACTGAATCTTTTGGCCATTCTCAGGATATTCATCATGGTTCTCCAACATCATAGTTCAAAGATATCTTCTCCAACACCACAGCTTAATTTATCTCTCTCATCTTTATTCTTTGTCCAGCTTTCAGATGCATAGCAAGTGATTGGAAAGATTTCCTGAATTAGGTACCCTTTAGCCTTCAAACTAACAATCATTTCTCCTTAGTAATTTAGAAAGGTCCCTGGCTTATCCAATTCCTCCAATTATTTTAAAACTAGTATTTAAATATGTTGTTGTTCTTCTTATTACGTGCTGCCGAGTCACCTGCGACTCAAAGCGACCCTAAAGCCTGCTCTATCCTGTGCCAATCTCACTGTCTTCAACACAGCTATCTCCACTACCCCAGTCATTGAGTTAATCCACCTCAAAGAGGATCTTCCTCTCCTGTGCTGTCCTTCCACTCTCCCAAGCATGACATCCCTCTTCAAGGACTGGTCCCTCCTTTCAACATATCCAAAGTATGTAAGACAAAGCTTCAGAATCTTTGCCTCCAAGGAGCAGACTGATTTAACCTACTCTGGGCCAAACTTGTTTTCTTAGCAGTGCATGAAATATTCATTCTCTTCTCCAACACCACAGCTCAAAGGCATCAGCTCTTCTTCTATCATCCCTAGTCATTATCCAGCTCTCTGATGGATAGCAAGTAATTGCAAAGACTGTATCAGCAGCACCTTAGTCTCCGCTGTGACACCATTGCTCTTCAGTACCCTGAAGAGGTCCCTAACAGCAGACTTTCCCATCGCAATACATCTTCGAATTTCCTGGCTATTGGTGCCAAAAGTGTTGACTAGGGAACCAAGCAAAGTAAAGATGTTAAAAATCTCAATCTCTTCACGATCCCTCCTGATGCCAATTGGCCCAGTGGTGAGAATATCTTCTTGACATTGAACCTTAGTCCATACTGAAGGCTGCAGTCCTTGACCCTCTGCAACAAGTGCTTCAGGTGCTCCTCAGTTTCAGCAAGCAGGGTTGTGTCATTTGCATAACGCAGATTGTCGATAGATCTTCCACCAATCCTGACGCTGCACTTCTCACAGAGCCCAGCCTCCTGGATAATCTGTTCTACATACAGGTTGAAAAGGTATGAAGAAAGAACACATCCCTGGCATACACCCTTCCCAATTTTTAACCATGCAGTGTTTCCTTGCTCTGTTCTGACGACTACCTCCTCACACACCAAATATTAAATTCAAAGAAGAAGAAATTGAAGTCTTCTACAAACATCTGCTGTCTAAAATTGATCAAACATACAACCAAGATGCATTAATAATAATTGGTGACTGAAATGTAAAACTTTAAACAAAGAATAAAGATTGGTTGTTGGAAAATATTAATTTGGTGAAGAAATGAGACTGAAATAGAATTACAAAAATTCTGTACAATCGATGGTTGGATAGACCTTGGCTAAAAGCAGAGAATATCAGAAAGACATTTGCATTTTACAGACTATGCAAAAGCATCTGACTGTACAAATCATAAAAATTTATAAATAATACTTAGAAGAATGGGAATACCAGAACTCTTAATTGTGACCATGAAAAACCTAAACCTAAACGATCGAGTCAGATGATCATATGATATATTATTCTGGAGATGAAAAGGTGAGGAAAAATGGACTTGCTTTCATAGTCAAAAAAGAAATTTCTAGGTCCATCTTGAAGT